ACAACAGACTAAATAAGCTCAAAAAAAATTGGACGATATAGCATATCTTGCCAAATGATCCCAGAGAGAACATTAAAGAATAAACAAACAAATAAAAAATAGATAAACAAAAACGTTTTCATCTAGAATATAACAACATCACGCTAGCGTCAACGAAACTGGCTAGTACCAACGCAATCATCAAATACTGCCATCAAAAAAAAGTCTGAACATGGGCAAGATTGAGTAAACTTCGCGAACCTTCACATTCTTCTCCGAAAGATGATTGCTGTTTGTATCTCCTTTGATGAACCATAGCAACTCTTCAACGATTCCTTTCCAGTATACTCGTTTGGTAGTTAGTAATGGGACAACACCTGTAAGATTTTCGGTTCCTCAATAAGTTCCATTAAAAATAAGTAGAACACAAATAATGAAAAAACAAATGCATACTATTTAACTGTCTTACCATTTCTGAGACTGTAACGTGACTGCATTCCAAAAATGGAAATGGTTTCCGTTCCAGTTCGATTACTGCGCCGTTTGCCATTGTTAATTATGTCCCGGATTTGACTCAGATAATTCTCTTCATCACAGTTGTAAGTGGTCATTTCTAAAAGGTGGAAAATGATTATAGCAAATCTAACTTGAACGCTGATTTCAAAGTAGGCCAAAATAATATCACAAATCTGCGCCGATGCAATGACTATACGGATTGAAAATAAGTTCTAAGCAAATTGGGGAGACCACTGATGAAATCAATGAGACCAGATTTCTAAAAAAGTTTAGAAAACAAGCAACACGAACAAACAGGTCCAACGTGTTTTCAAAGCCAATATAAAGCCGACAAAAGACTCCATTGGTTGCGGACATTTCATTCCCGCGCTGGCGCCGTTTTCAAATGGCGGCGAGGCGGAACGTTGTTCCACGGCAACCTTTTATTTGTGCAGCCCTATTGTATTCCTATTCTCTACCATCGCCTCCCCAATTGGCGCTAGGGCGGTCGTGATCTCCAACCGATAATCAA